TTTTTTTTACAGATACTTCACATTTATAAAGGATTGCATCTTTAACTTGTTTTGCTAGATCTGTTCTCACATGTACATGACCAAATTTCTCTACTGTTCAGTAGGGAAAATGAAGCAGTGGATATAATTGCGTAATGACAGATATGAGAGGAACAGAGAATCCCAGAAATCGTTTCCTGTGACTTGGCCAGCTTCCAGGATGTCTCAATGGGCCCGCTGATGTAAAGGCAAAATGAAAATAGCTCATTCTGAAGGGTACTTGTTGGTTGGGGGTTTTTTTCCCTCTCTCATTTGACTTTGCAGACTAAGGTATTGGAATAATTAGTTGGCAGTGTGGTGTTAGTTTTCTCATGGTAAATTAAGCAGATTAACCAAATGTGGAAATGTATTTTAGCTACAATCAGCAGATTTGAAACTGTAATACTTCAGCATCCTCTGAGGTTATGTTAATATTATTCACATTATTCCTCTCTATAATGTGCAGACTTTTCCACAGTTACCTTATGTCAGTGTTTATTCAAAGGCAGCAGAATTATTAGATTTATTTTTGTTAGTTTTGTAACACAGAAATGTAGAGGATCAGCATGCTAGCTGTTGCGTCACTCCACTTGGCATGTAGTATTGGCACGGATAAGAGAACTATTATAACAGCCTTAATCTCTTTTTTTATTATTATTGTTATTAATTTTCCTACAGTAAGTTGAGTAGTGAAGCATATTTTACATAATTATGGCAGAAGTACACAACTTGACGGGTGGTAGTGAAGGAGCAAAGTAATATAAATATTTGCAGAACGTTTCTGCCATAAGTTAATGCTTTGCATATGAATCTTTATAAAGATCCTAAGTTAGTTTAAAGGAATGATTCCAGAGGACTACGTAGGTCCAGCCATTTTAAGAGCTGTGAATGATGACTGTGGAGCATCTCTGGGAGTTTTTGGCTTGTCATACAAAAACAGAAAAGAGAAGGAGGAAAACTCAGCAGGAAGAAGTTAACAAATGTTTTGGGAATGGAGGAGGGAGAAGACATAAGCTTTCCATGTACAAATCTTAGGCTAGCCTCACCTAGTCATTAATTTTTGGTTGCTGCTTGTCTTTGGCTTGCTGCATTTCACTGGAGACACTCACTTAGCAAATGGTTGCAGCAGCTTTCAGTTGCTCCTGCAAGCACATATCTGCTGCTGCTTCGAGCCCCAAAGCAGAGCTGATAGAAGGGAATTGAGAAACAAATCTCAGCTATTCCATGCAACATCTGTTGGTTTAATTGAGCTGCTGCAGGAGATTCAATCTAAGCTACCAGCTGTGGCACAGAAAGGTCTGAGGGACACACACGCATGGATCCATGCAAGCCAGCTGTGTGAAAGAGCAAAAAAGGACAGCATGGGCAGGAACTTCTTAAGCTACTATTGGTAGATTTGCCAGGTTACACATGCTGACAATCCTATTTTCCCTCAAAATATTATTTCTAAACAATACCAAGTCCATTTTGCTTTCCAGGGATTGATCTGAAAGTACAGAGCTGCATCTCAGCCTGTCTGGCTGAAATACAAATGTTCAGTACAAACATGTTAGCACTTGTAGTTCTTCCTGAAGATTTCAAACTGGATACACTGGAGCTGCAAGGTCAACACGTTTAGGAGAAAAACACAGCTAGCTGCATAGGCTTTATATATAAGCCACAGGATATTTTGTTCCTTATTTGCCAATTCAGCCTATTTTAAGAGAATCCCACAATTTTAATTTTCTGCTTTGGACTTGACTGCTAAACTGATCATGTCATAATAAAATACATCTGCATAAATAACAGTGTTTCTACAGGGACTCTCAGTATTGGTTTCAGATATCACTTTGCCAGAGAACTAGGGGGAGAATTCTAATACTGTATTTCCTATGAAAATTTTACAAAAATGTCAAATACATTTGTGAAAGTTTGAAATTATGAGCCTGCAAACAACCTTTTTTTTTTTTCTGGATGGCCATTTAGCTATAAGTCTACTCCCCTCGCAGAAGCTTTTCTGAGAAGTACTTGAGGATTTTAAAGTCTATGTGTATATATACACCTTTGTGAAAATATTCTGGTTTGGAGGGCATGCTTTATTTTTTGAGCAGTTTTACCATATCCCTGATTATGGTGCATATTGAGCTAACTGCTATTTTAAGTTGTTGACTTTTCATGTGCTTGCTTATTTCTAATCAGAGGACTGAGCAGTCTCAGGTAGCTCACAAATAGAATGTTCCACACAAGCCAAGCAAGTGGAAACAAATACAAGGGGTTCTGATATAAGAATGGACCACATCAATTAATGATAGGCAGGTAATTGGCTTCTTTGTAGAATTACTTCTAAATAACTTCCCTGCTAAAAGAGCAATTGCTAAATGAATGTCTTTCCTTACCATGTTCAGGGGTGGAAAAATGCAGCCATCACTCATTAGCCCAAAGTCTGAGTCAGCTAGACAGCGTGAAAAAATACCTGGCACTCAAAGCTCACATTTAGCCTCAAAGCCATGCCCTGCCACTCAAAAGGAACAAAACAGTCGTGCACTGTTTGTGACCTCCCTTTAGCTGTAACACAGTGTCAATCACACTGGGCTTTAATCCTTTCCAAATTATAACATGTATCTCTTGTGCTTTGTTCCCTTCCTGCCTTTTTTACTTTTATTCCTGACAAAAGAGGACAATATCTCGCTCTTATAATAGTCAGTATTTTGTCAGAAATTTGCAGTGCTTGTGACATTTTCTTCCTTCTTCTTGCTTTCTTGACGGTTTCTGTACCTTTGCCCTACCAGATTTTAGTCTCGGATTTATTTTCTGGGCTTTTCTCTCCAAAATAATTCTTTCTTTTGATGCCACAATTTTATTTCTAATGTATCACTGCAGTTCTCACTTTCTACCTACCAAGCAGGTGGTTAGACAGAAGGGGAGAATATAATGATCCAAGACTTGTGATGGTCCCAAGATCTTGCACTGTGAATTAAAGCTCCAAGTCCCCAGGTTCTCTCTAACTGTGGTATCTTAGATGTAGTGGCCTCATTCTTCCTACCTTTATCTTTTCCCTGAGAGAGTTGAGTTTGGAAGTTTTTTGAGTTATTCCTTCTTCCATCTGCTCCTTTGAGAAGATGAGCTTCTACTCTTCCTTTACTTTTGTGGTTACAAAAATATAGTTTCTTTTTCACAGATTTCTATTTGAGTCCTTTTCTCCAGCAGCTTGTTTCAGTTGTCATTCATAGTTTCTAAGCTGGAGAAGGAGGAATCACTGAGCAGTAGAAGAGTAACTAAAGTGGGAAACTAATGAATTCTGGGGGGTGTTGCTTCTTTAGCTTACACTCAGCTCATATTTAATTGTTAATGTGGTATGCATTTGGATGGGCATTTGCTCTAGGTTTTAAGCAGAAAAACAATAAAAAATTATGTGAATTTGATAACTTGCTGAAGAAGCTTCTTGGCTCTTTTTTCAGCCAAGTTGATTTTCAAAGCCTGGCAGCATATGCTCACACTTGCAGTTTCAGCTGTGTCTGTACATCTAATGCATTTTGTCTGCCTAAGGAGGAAATTCACTGTATGCTGGTTAAATATGAGCAAATGTAGTATTGTCTCTCCTGTGCTGGTTGTCACTCCTACCTCTCTCTATAGCACAAGCTACCTAAGCATAAGATACAGAAGAGTAAGCATTACGGTAAGAATATGTTGTACAAGTGCAAAAGACCACACCTTGTTCTTCAAAACATTTCAAGTTTCTGAGGCATTTTTTGTAAACCAATGTTTTTAAAAATCTAGAATCCACAGCCACCATGTGAGGCCACATAGGCTTCTTCAGCTTTTTCTTATCTGAGGTTGTTGACCTCAGGAGAGGAGGAGAAGGTTACAGGGTCAAAGTCTTTTCCTCCTTGGAGCTTGCTGCTTGCTGGGAGAGGGTTGGCTGGAAAATAGATGTTTTAGAAAAAGGGTTGAGGGTCATGATTTTAATTCTGTTAGGGAACAGCTGGTTTGAGTTTCTTTCCACTTCTATCTTCCCTCCCTTCCTCACAAATCCATGGAGAGAGAAAAATTTGTTCAGAGGAAAGCAACACAAAAATAAAGAATTGCAGCATTTTCATATTTAAAATAGATCATACTTGTTATAGGACTTCATATTAGGAGACAGAGGAGGAAATTATTAAAATAATTGAAATCCCTTATTGTTACAAGCATTGAATTGATATTGATCTAAAGTGTCAGAGGTTTATTTGTTTTCCTGCCAACAGTTAAAATGTTAATATAATGTTTTAATGGATTTTTTGTGGATAAACAATATACATTGCAATTTTTAATTTAGTGATGGAGAAAGCTAATTTTTAATATATTATGTTAGTTTGCAGAAAAGCAGCTGAAGAAAGATGGTTTGATTTGGGTATTTCTGTTCAGATTTTCTTCATCTTTGCACGCTGCTTTCATGCACTAAGACCAAAGAGAGAGAAGGAACTCACAACTCTCAAATGAATGGCAAACTAGGAACAGATTTTTCATCTGCACTCCTCTGAAACACTGGCCTCAGGCTGTGTTGGTGTGTGGCTCAACAGCAATCAGAGGTCATAATTTCATTGGCGGTTAGCATCAGGTTTAATTTTTCTAATATGTTACATTTACCAAAATGTCTGGTTTCAGTTACACTTATGCACTGACTGAATCAGCTTTGAGCAGCATGATGTTTTAAGGTACCTGAAAGGCTACAAGAACGTTTATGGAACACATATGCTAATTGTTTTTAACCACTTTCATTTCTAAACACAAAAATGTGTTTTTGGAAAGCCATTTAACAGTAGTAGCTAATGACGGTGTGCATTTATTCCAAGAAATGAGCACAAGGAATAGGTAAAATAGTTGTTTTAACAAGACTGCCATCTACTGATTTCCACAATTAAAAATATCCCTGATGACTAGATTGGTCATAGTTTTTTTTTTAATAGCTTTGTTTTCAAAATATGCAAAATCAAGAAAATTATAAAATCTTTCTGTCACCTTAGGAATGCGACCAGGTTCACATTGACGACGTGTCTTCAGATGACAACGGTCAAGATTTAAGGTACAAGAGAACTCATTAAGATAAAAAGTTACTTTGCAAATTCCTTCCTGGGCAAGGGATGGGCTGCTGGAATGCTCACAGCAGCCTGCTCTCTTTTAGCTGTCTTCTTTGCCGCCCAGCCAAGTGGGTAGCTGGTGGCTCAATGCAGCCTGTTGCCTTTTATTAATCTGTGGGGTTTTTATCCCTGCCTAGCACGTATAACTTTGGAACTGACGGCTTTCCCGCGGCTGCCACCAGCGCCAACCTGTGCCTGGCCACCGGCGTGCGCGGAGGAGTGGACTGGATGCGGAAACTGGCCTTCCGCTACAGACGAGTAAAAGAAATATACAACACCTACAAAAACAACGTTGGAGGCAAGTGACTCTGGAGCGTCTAACTAACACGGATTATTAGAGGTCTTAAATGGGAAGAACTGGTTTCTACTCCTTTCTAGGAGTGTTTAGTGAGCTGCTTAGTTTGCCACGTGCAGAACATTGTCTGAGCTGGTGAAAGCAAAGGAAAATGACAGAGCACTACTTAGTACCAGTGCAGACATGCCCTTGTCTACTCCACAGGTCTTCTTGGTCCAGCAAAAAGAGAGGCTTGGTTACAACTGAGAGCAGAAATTGAAGCTTTGACAGATTCTTGGTTAACACTTGCACTGAAAGCACTCACCCTCATACATTCGAGGTGAGTATTGAGAGTAGGAAGGAAGCTCTAGCATGTCTGAGGATAATCTGGAAGAGGCTGTCTGGTGTGGTGGGCAAAATGCTGAAGCTGGAGGACCTTATCCTCGTTTCTTATTCTGATCTGACCATGCCGCACCTTGTTCCTCGATACAGTGGTAAAAAAAAAATATTCTTTTTAAGTGGTGATAATAATGTTGAAGGGGTTCTGATGGGAGGGGTAAGATTTTCCTTCTATTGTTTTGTTTTTGTTTCTTTCTGTTTTGTTAAAAAAGGATATTTTCATTTTTCTCTTCCGTAGGACAAACTGTGTGAACATTCTCGTAACAACTACTCAGCTAATTCCAGCTCTGGCAAAAGTCTTGTTGTACGGACTAGGGGTTGTATTTCCCATAGAGAATATTTACAGTGCAACTAAAATAGGTGAGCTATTTTCATCATGTTGTGATACATTTAAAGCTGTATTTCTAAAAAGAAAAGGTATTGTAGTCTATATTTAATTCTAACTTGCTTTCACTGTAGTAAATACAGAGATTAGTAACACCTGATCCTCATGAAACATTGCTAAAGCATCCTAAAAGTGCTTTTGAATGTGTGATGATCCAGCACAGAAAGTTTTTTATAGCTCTATTAACAGTGGTACAGTCTCTCTTAGGAAGAAATATTAAAAAAAATGCTTATTTTCATCATTTCTCAAAACTGTGGGGCTGTGTAGCAGTTGAGAAGGGTTTTTAATAGGCAGTAAGTACAGAACACTGAAGTCTCCCTGAAGCAGCAGTAGGAGAAATTCTGTAAAGGTAAACCCTGGCTTATTTGTTTTCATGGGCTCTGGAGAAAATTTTGGTAAACAATTTACCAGAAGCAAGAATGTTTTGCTGCAAAATGTAATTATTTAAGTTTCTTCATACTGACTGTAATAAGCTTCAGCCTGGCAAATGTTTATTTCTGTTTTCTGGTTCAGTATGAAAGATGTTATTCTGAGTATGTAGAAGTACCCCAGACCAGATGGCAACGTTGTTTGTAGTTTTTAATGTGATTATGACATATCTGTTCTGTCTCAGATTCCCTCATAATTGTGGGACACAAGAACACATTTTTCATCTGTTCTTAAGTATCTTAAGTATAATACAGCAAGCTCAAATAGTGGGATATTTTTGATTTTTTTTTTAACAAGACAAAACAAAATTGTTTCATAGTTTTACAGAGAAATTAGAAAGCATTCCCATAAAATATTTAAAATTTTTCCTGAATATAAAAGTTATAGTGCCCTCTATCAAAACTTTATAGTAAATTATAGCTTTGAAATATAATGCTTTAAATACACATTTTAATTAAAACATATTTTAATAAATCTTCACTTGTGACTTCACATATATGGGGTAGAAGGGTGGTTTTGGAAAAATGTGCTCTGTCACTGACTGTCACAAGAAACCATGAGATTTTTGTGACATGGCATGATTCATAATATTCAAACACTGTTCCAGCTTAGTGTTGGAGGTTTCTTATGCCTGGTGCTACTGTCAAATGGTATCATTAAGTAGTTTGGCTTCTGTAATGTCTAGAAAACTTTATTTAATTTCCAGCCTACTTTTTCTTATGCTTTTATTGTTCTTTAGCTGAAATAACTATTTTATAAACCACAAATCTTCCCATCCATTGCTGTAGACACTCAGCATATCCCATGGCCAGACTAAAGTGACCTTTCATAATGGGGACATTTGGGAAAACTCAACTTTGGGCTTTTGCTTTCTTTTGCCTTCTCAGTACTGTACCTGAAAGTTCCCAGTAGGGGTACAAATTGAAAGAGAAGAAATTTAGGTTAGCTATTAGGAAGAAATTCTTTACTGTAAGGATGGTGAGACATTGAAACAGGTTGCCCAGGGAAGTTGTGGATGCCACAACCCTGGCAGTGTTCAAGACCAGGCTGGGTAAGGCCTTGGATGACCTGGATAACCTTGGATAACCTTAAATAACCTATTATAGTGGGAGTTTCCCTGCACATGCCAGGGTGGGTTGGCACTAGATGAGTTTAAGGTCCCTTCCAACCCTTAGCATTTCTGTGATTCTGTGGTACTTGTGCATAGGGCTGGAGCACTGAGATAATTTCCCTAGGTGTGTGCAGGGAAGGAATGACCTATATGAATGGATCCCAGTGCAGGATCAAGGACATGGCCCATGTATTGGATTACAGGCATTTAAATCTTAATCTTTTGAGTGACCTTCTAAGTCAAGGTACTACTGTTTTAGGAGCTGTGATTAATCATGTCACAAATTTTGGAGAAAAAGCTAGAATTTCAACTCAGCTTCAATCAATTTACTCAAATCATGCTACTGGTCATAAACAAATGGTAGATAATTCTCCTGGTGGTGAATTTCCCCACAAAACCTGTGTCATATTAGGGAATGAGACAAGAAAGGTCATATTGTGGAGCTCTAGTATGCTGTCTATGCTGCAATCAGCCTTGATACACCATCCTGAGGGACAGACTCTTCTCATTATTGTAGCTCTACTTAAGAATTCCAAGGGTTGGGGAGATCCAGGCTAAAAACTTATTTATTTGATGACATCCCATAACCACCTACCCTGAATAGTCTGATCTTTTTCTTTCAGGAAAGGAAAGTTGTTTTGAGCGAATAATTCAAAGATTTGGAAGAAAAGTAGTGTATGTTGTTATAGGAGATGGTGTCGAAGAAGAACAAGGTGCAAAAAAGGTAATGACCTTCTTTTGGTGAGGGTTGGTTTCAAGAGTCTGGAAAATTGTCTTTTCTTCAGCATGGGACAGAATGCACTGACATTTAGGTTGAATGTCTTTGCCTTATAAAATTTGTGTTGACTATATCTAGTAGAAAGCCAGGTAAGCCTATAGATAATGATTTGCCCTGCTGTTCTCCAAAAGACACATTAAACTATGTATGTTTGATGCATTTCAAAAAGGGGCCAGAAAATGGGCCCTGGTTTTTGTGCCAAGAACTAACAGTTCTGTTTTCCTTGGCAACCGAAAATACCACATAGGATGTTATGAATGTAAGCAAAATATGGTGATTCTTAGTGATCAAAGGCAGTGTGCTGTTTAACTGTATGAAATACGTATATGTCACACCTTAAAAAGACATGTAGGACTGGAGTAGGTAGACAGGAATTTCCGTTTTCTTGTGTGTCCATAATTTGGATTCTTCGTTCAGACAACAACCTGTGGCTTGGCATGCATTCATAATCTCAGATAACTGAGCAGAGAATACTGTTTGACTGTCTATTATTTTTTGCTTCCCACTGAGAAGGGAAAAAATGGGGTTTTTTTCAATGTGAATTAAGCTGTATCAAAAGCAACACTTTCCATTCACAGATAATAGGCTTTATTTGTAGTCTTGCTAAAAAAACTACCCTAGGTAGTCTGCAGATACACACTCTTTGCTTGGAGGAATGAGGCATAACCTTGGCTATTTGAATAATAGGAGAAAGAGCAGGAAAATGGGCATTTTTGTTCTTGCTGCCTTTCGCAGATAAATTGCTTTTACACAGCTGCTTTTTCATCACAAAACTCTCTGTGATACTTCTATCTCTTTCCACTGTGACTTTCTAAATTGGAAAAGTGAAACTAATTAGTCCACATGGCGTTTTAACAACCATTGACTGGTTTTGCTTCATGAAATCTGGGTTTTGTGCCCCTGAAGCCTTGCGGGTAGGTTCCCGGCTCATCCCAGCACTTTGCAGAGTCTCAGTTTCATATATCCCTTTGGCGGAACAGTTTGCTCCTTTCTCCTTCAGAAATGCCTTTCATCTTTGCAGAGAAATGTTTTCCCGCTGCAAATGATTACATTTTAAAAGCTGTATTTAAGATCAGGAGGAAAAAAAATTCCTTCTCTTTGTTCCTTTTCTGTTGCTTGGTGAAATAGTGTTGCATATGATAATGGCAGAAGTAGTTCCTTTGGTAACATTATCTATTCCAATCCCTTTTTCAACAGGAAACATGATTCAGAAAAGCGTAAGAGAAAGCCTTTCCAGTCGCTAAGAGGAGTAGCAGTATAGAAAGTTCCTTTGTGCAATTACTTGTGTGTATTCTTTCCTGGTGGAAGGAATTTTCAGGTTGAAAGCATGTTAGATGCTCTGGATTAAATTATCTGCTGCAGCAATGCCAGAGAAGTCAATAAGTAGACCAGCAGCCCTGCCTTTCTGCATAAACTATCAATCTGATTTAGGAAAATGCTTCTGCAATTCTTGTCCTGCTTCTTACTCCACCAAATAAGAAATCACCATTTCGCACTGTGAATGCAGGCTTTGTCTTTTTAATTTTTTCCTTCACATCCTTCAAGAGTAGAAACCTTCTCTGGAGAGCACACAAACAAAACAGAAGCTTTGCCTCCCCAAAACTACCCAAAGCATCTCAATCCAGAGTGGCATAACTGTGCTGTGATGTACCCCATTGTCATGCTTACCCTTAAATTTTGGTAGCTGGTTCCTTCTTGCCTTGCTTCCCATCAGCATGTCAGGTTTTGTGGCCTTCTCCAGAGAAGGGACAGGTCTTCTGTTACCTTTGCACAGTAGTTTTCTGAAGGGCTTTGGCCTGAGGTGAAGCCATTAGCATATGTGTGTTTCTTTACACTATTTAGAGCATAACCAGCACAACTTTCTTTAGATAGCACTTCATTGTTTACATGTAAACTGTAATGAGTCTTTTCAAGTAAGCATATATATTCAAGCCAATATAATTAGAGATTTTTTTTATTCTACGTTCATTCAGTGGATTAAAAAAAAAGTTGAACTTCCAGCTTAGGAGGTAAGAAAGTTAATGTTAAATTATTAAAAATAATTTACCAATCATTTATAAATTCCTTCATCATAAAATAAGATTTTCATGTGTGTCCTTCATTGATGGAAAATATTGAGTCAATATAGGAGTAGGAAAATAAAATAAACTTTTAAAATCTTTTTATTATTGTCATTAGTATAAAAATTCAATAATAGAAATTTCTTAATGCCACTTAAAAGATCATTGCTTTATTGAGAAACATTTTTAGGATAAACAGTTTGTTAATAAAATGCCTCTTTTGGTTGATGTAAGTAAACATGATACACTGAGAAAACTGCACAATGTTACGTTTCTGGTAGCATTAGTCGAACTATGATATTGACACCTTTGTTTAGCTGTCACTTCCAGCAAAATGTTTGATGAGACAATTAAACTCTCAGGATGTTTGCCCTGTGGATTGAGGAGTGATTGTACCCTTCTGGGTCAGTGCAGCAGCCCATGAGCTTGGCTCTAACACCAGGGCTCACACAAAGGTTGCCACCTTCATATCAGCTTCCCCCGGAAAAAAGGGAGAGGAGGGCAGAGAGAAGCCAGTGTGAAAGTCCAAAGGGTGCCCTGGAGCTGCTGGCACCAGTGTGGGTCAGAGTCACCCCCTCAGAGTGCCACTGCAGTGCCACAGCTGTTCTCAATACAAGGGTCTGGAGGCTTCTGCCAGAGACCCCATTGTCTCGGCATTTTGGTTTGCTTTGCTTTGTTTTGTGTTTTGGGTTTGGAGGTTATTTTGTTTTGTTGTGTTGTGTTTTGTACTCATCTTTTGCCTTTGCCTTTGGAGACACATTCAGGAAATACTAATAAGACAGAAAAACCCCAGCTCCTGAGTTTTTCTGCTCAGGAGAATTCTCCAAAGGATTTCTAATTTGTGAGATGGACAAAGGATCCTCTGCACTGAGGAGCTGGATTTTACATCAGGTGATTCGGGAGAGCCTAGTCAAATGGGCTTCTCCTTTGTCTCCAAAATGGTCATGCTGCCTGGGAGGAAAAATCATAAATCTTTGTGGAGCAATAAATAGAATATAAATGGGTATCCAATATGCCACTGCTTTTAAGCTCAGAGTCACACTGTGCTGGTCAGGTCTGGGGTAGGAAGTAAAGAGGGGTGCTTAGAAAATCTGGCAGGAATACAATAAAAATACCATGAAAGATGACAAAAACTGATGAGTTTTCTATTCAAATCCATCTCAAATCTCAGGAGTAAGTTTTTTTGTATAAATATGTATTCATTTAAGGGATGGAGGATAGAGGATAATCTGCACTTTTTGGTGTTGCTATCAAAATATGGATTTGTTCTGCATGTGTAAAAATAGCAACACTATTTTGTGGAGTAAAATAGCTGAAATTTTGTACATTTAGTAGGTACATCCTGAAAATAAAATTACTTCAATTTCAGAAATAAAATAGCTTAATATCTTGGATTATTTAATAATACTCTAATTATTAGGCTTACTAAATTTGTAGTTTCATTTTTTATGCTTTTTACATTAAAATCCAAATTTTGCCACCATATTTAATTTCAAAATATCATCAAAATCAAATAATTTAAAAGTTCATAGATGTTTAATTACTCAGTATCATCTACCAAACAATTCATGATTTTTAAAGACAAATGCTTCATATTTACTTGGAATATGTTGAAATAGTAGACTTAGGGTTCCATTAGATACTAATGCATCCAGTTTCACCACCTATTTATTAGTGGTTAGCATTTGTCATCCATTCTCCCGCAGCAGCAAATGTGAGATTAGCATTTCTTGCTTGGCTCAGAATAGAAGTGTTCTGCATGACAGGGGTGTGCTAAGTGTTGGTAGGGATGGCTTTTTAAAGGCAATATTTAGTACAGATATATACAAAGGATCTCTTGCTCTCTCAAATGATCTCAAGTCATTTGGCAAGAGAAAATGTACTTCCATCTCATGGGAGTGTTGCCACTTTTGACATGGCTGAATAGTTGTGAATCAACAATGCATGTTAATACAGAAATAATAGGTAAGGTTGTGTATGATAATTTTGTTACTTTAAAGGTTCTAGTTTCATACAGTGATTATCTTAGATGGGGTGAAAATTAGCATACATGCCTCATGAAAACACAGGCATATATATGAACATATATGTGTGAGGCTCTATATATACACACAAACATACAGATATATATAGAGCTGTATCAGGTTTGTTTCCCCTCCTCACAGCTCTGAAGGCTGTAGTGCAGGGTCAGACTGAATTGGCCATGTTCAGCCATGCCCAGGGCATCAGAGCAGATTCCAGCCCCATGCAGCCACCGTGTTCCTGGCATGTTTTATTTCTCAGGAGTGTGCAGCTGGCCTTTAGACCTACATGAAGGAGAACTGAAAATAATTATAATCCTGAGATTTACACAACCTCCTTTTTTTCATGAGACTCTCTATTGTCATTCCACACTTCGCTGCTATAACTGCATGGAGTAAATATAGGTATATTCCTTTCACAGACAGATAGACATAAATAAAGCAGAGGACAATTAACTGAATTTGAGATAGAAATATATAGTCAAAATAATGAGTGCTAACAGTTTTGGTTTAAAATCTGACCATCAACAGCTGACCCATAAACAGGGTAATCCAAAACTCGATATTGCACATGGGCATCTAGCACGAGGTGCTGTAATTTGATTTAGCAGAAGCTAAACCTTCTGTTAAATCAATCAGAGTCTTTAACTGCTCTATCTGCCTGGTGTGTGTATGCTCTGTGATGCTGAGGTTGTTACTAGGGAAGCAGTATAAAGCTGGAACTGCATGGAGTGGGAGCTGGAAGCCAAGAATTTATTCCTATAGTTTTCCCTATTCATTGGTTTGCTGCCTGGCCTTGGAAGGCATCCATGTCATTGACTTTTGGCTTCTGCAGAGACTCTTTGCATAGACAGGTGTCCACCAAAGTCTTTGCCAGCCACATCATAGGTGTGCTGTTTACATTCCCTGACCCAGTGGCTAAAGCAGACCTGCTGCCAAGCTGACTAAGAGGAGGAGCAGGGAGCTATGGCTGGCTGTCAGGGACACCAGCTGTGTCCCACCTGACAGGGTGTGAGAGAGAAAAGGGAAGCTGCAACCTCCCACGAAAAGGAGGCAGCACTGCTGAGCGTTGCTGACCTGTGCAGTCATCTGGCAAACACAGCATGGACCTGTTGCAGGCACAAACCTGTGACTCTTTGTGCTTGATGTAGTATCCCTATCAGATATTTCAAATTCTGCCAGAAAGATCTTACAGCCTAAGTTTAGAGAGGTGCACAGAAGCTTTTGCAAAATCCAGAGAATGGCATGGCTAGTAATTTTTATTTTGTATTGCTCTTGCTGGTTCATTTCCTGAACATGGTGCAAGAAGTTCATCTTTAGGAAATCTGTGAGTTGGAAAACAGCAATGTCTGGCCTGACAGAGCACAGAGAGTAGGCTGCCTGTATAATGTAACAGGGAACAAAGATCCTGGGGCATGGAGTTGTAACTGAGTGAGCTAAGTGCCTCTGCTTTCTGTAGCTGGTGGAGCATAGAAACAGTACAGTGGAAGTCCAGATTGAAGATGTATGGAAAAAAAGTGTTGTAGTGTTTAACATTTCCTTCTTAAGGAAAAGATCCATCTATAAAAGTGTTTTGGAAATATCACAAGCATTTTAAAAAAATACCTCTATTGTCTCTCTGAATTTTGTTTGGTTTGTTGTCTCCATTGTCAGCCATCACTCATGAATTTATCTTTAAGCTGAGATTCAGTCAGCTGTTTCTCAAGGCTTTCTAATACTCTAAAACAAAGCAAACCAGAACAGAAACTGCTACAATGGTGTTTTCTTGGGGGTCATTATGTTTTCTTCCTGAAGAAATTCCTTTGTTCTAGAATCTGGGCATACTCTGAATGTGGGCACGTGTTGATGCATCCATATTGCATCTTCATTCAAATCAGGTGTCATGTCAAAGAGGATGTGACAGGCTGAGTGTTAAGATATTTGCCTTCTGAGACAGGTACAGAAATTACAGTAAATGTGCAGCTGAATTCAGTGAGTTTAACATTGTTTTCAAAATTTTTCTCTAACTTAAAATTTGAGAAGACCAGAATGAAAAAAGGAAAGCAGAATAAAAGTGACAGAGGAGATAGAGTTTTGTCACTGATTTCAGTGGAATTAGGAATTTACTCAGGAGCTGCTGAAGAAGATGATGAAAGCCTCTTTGGAAAATCATAGATAAAAATGGTTGGGGAACTTAGAAGCTAATGTGATAATTAATTGCTTGTGGTTTGCCTCCTAAAGATGCCAGGACACAAACTGATCCGATGAAAAGGTGAACACAATCATATTAGCCTTCAGAATACTGTTGAATTGAAACTATTTTCCCATTGGATAATTTCCTGACAAAAGCTCTTTTTTCTTATTTTTTAATTTATGCAAAAGTTCTTGTTGACATTATAACCCCCAGTTTCAAATATAAAGGTAGTTCTTAAGCAGATTTTTACCCATCATGAATGAGGTGATCTGTGCTTTTTCCTGGGACTTGTGTTTTTGGTTTATTCAGGTTCTTTGCAAAAGTATTTGTGCTACAGACAGATTTTATTACAACTAATAGGAAAAAAAGATGTATTTATTTTAATGTCCCACATGGAAAAGATGCTTTAAGAACAGTGTTAGCAATGACCAATGTTACACAAGCCACTGGGATAAAAATCTTTTCAAAGTGATGTGAGCAACACATGAGTTATTCTGAATCACCATTTCTCTGTTCTTAACTCTTCTGCCAAGAGTAGTTTTTTACAAGGAGCAAATACATTTTGAGAGTAAACAACACTTTCACTTTCTTTATTTTCTTTCCGTTTTCTTCCTGAAACTACCCACATGCTTCATGTGTAGGCTATTTGGTTTCTTTTTTTCCAGAGTAATATTTTCTTCTGCAGTGCTCTGAAATCTGTTTTTCATATAAAGAGATTAGAAGCCCCTCCCCTCCTTATGATCTCCTGATGTGTTTGCTGTAGTTCCTATTGTAAATAGATGTGCTGTTATTGAGAATTTATGCTTAGGGTGTGGGTCAGAGAAACCAGACATAAACATGGAGGATTCAAGGTTTTAAGAGCTCTTTTTCTCTCCCCCGAGTGTTCTCTTATCCCTGTGAAAGACAAAGGGTGCATCTAAATACCAGAATGCTTGGGGTTGTTTTTACATATTGTCTGTGCTGTTCACAGCATGCTATGCCATTTTGGAGGATCTCGAGCCACTCTGACCTTATGGCCCTTCACCATGCCTTGGAACTGGAGTACTTGTAGCAGCCTAGCAGCACTTTCAAACCTCAGAGCCTCCTTCTGCCCGTGGATGAGATGCCTGTGTCTTGTGTCAGCATTGGACTACAGAACTCTGTGATTTCAGCATGTTGACGTACAGCTGCAGTCGGGGTTAACCCTTGCCCTTTCAGTGAACAGAGGAGCAAGTCCTTTTCTTCAGAACAGCTGTTGGCTCCGGCACTGCCAGCCCAACCAAAATAAGCCATGCGAGTGTTTGAACAACTCATCTTTACCATATTTGCTACGAAAAAGAAATAGAGAAGGAAAAAATAAAATGGGAAAAAAAATTTAAAAAAAGAAGAAGAAAAGGAAATAAGAGGTTCATACCTGTGAAGAAAAGAAAAAGGACCTGCAAATGCTTTGTAGTTTTTAGCCTCTTCAATGTGACACACACGATTTCTTCAACACAGCAAACTTGATTGCACAATGAAGACTGAGATTTTACAAAATACCAGTGGAGTAATTTTCTTATAAAGAAGGTTTACGTTTTGGTTTCTCATACCCAGGGTACTCTGTACATCTTTACTTATTTATGAACAGACTGTATTTTGACATCATATAACTGAGGATATGTATAATAGGATTAAAGGCTATTATAAGCCTTTGCCTTATGGTACAGCAACTACTTTTGATTTTAGCACATTACAGAGTAGTTTAAAATATGTCTAATTTAAACTAATAGGTACATCACTGAGACAATCATGTACAGGAAGAATTTTTTGTGTAAATTTGTAATAATGAATGATTCTTTTACATATTGTTAAGGTAAATGCTATTGAAAGATAGTAACGCCTTGTTGGTGAAGAATGAGGCCACGTGTGCACAAACTTGTGCAGTGCCTTATCAATGTGTTGGATATAAATATGTAGATAATGGATTTTTTTTTAGATAAATTTGTCAAGACCAAAAGCATGGATGTCAAGTGTCAATAGGAACTGGGTTTTGTTCTCAGCTGTTTCTCTGCCATTTTCTTCTCTCACCCCCTCTGATTACGAAAAGATTGATTTTGTGTGTCCCCCCTGGTTGAAGCAAATACAGATAAAACCCAAGTGAAGAGGAAGCCTTTATTGTCTTTTTGTTTCCTCTTTTAAAGTTAACATATTAACTCTTTCTTAGAGTATTAAAAAATTAATTAGGAGCTCATTCCATAAAGTAGTAGAGAAAGAACACAAATATATTTTAAGATGTAACTTAAACTGGAACCTTGGTACTGAATAGCTTTTGTCTCACCCAAAAATGAAGGAAATTATCATCACTAATATTTTTAGAAATTAGAAATGGGAATATTTTGGAAAAATTAAACAAGAATGCTCATATACATTTAAGTTTTTTAATCCTCTTCCACCAGGAGTCAGATTTTCCTAAGATATAACATCCATTGCCGGCAATGGAAATGCTGAAATGGTTATCAACAAGGAGTTAAAATTTGCTTTTGTCTGTACTAACTTAAAGGACAAACCTAGACCGTGTCTGTCTGTGACTTGTGACTTTTCTGATCTTGAAGGCTTTGAGCTACTTGGTTAAATAAACTGTTAGTCTGACTTTTTTTGGCTTGAATTGTACCAATTCCCTTGGCCCAGTTAAATATCTTATTAAAAAGAAGCCTCACCTTTGTTATTAATTTTCTGGGTTTTTTCTTTCATTTTTTTTAAAAAAACCACCAGCCTCAAAACAGCTACCTGCAAAGCTACAGAGCACCAATGTAGCTACAAATCAACACCCTTCTCTATTGGAGGAATCACATTGCTGCTAGAATAAAATATTTGTGGATTGCGTTAGTACCAACAGAGAGGTTTTTATCTTACCAAGACTTGCACGTGTGCTTTACTTTACCCAGTATGAGTTCTGCAACTCATGCTGGACTCACATACGTGCATAAAGCACATTGTGGATGGTTTTTAGAATTGAGACTATCATTAGCCTTTTTTTTCCTCAAGCAAAGTAGACAGTGATGGGGGAGATTGGTTGTCTTTTTTTTTCTTTGGCTCTTTTCAATTTTTAGTCATTTGCGGACTGAAAAAATAACAGTTTATCTGGGCCTTATTGTACAAAAAGTGTGTTGTGTCCACAATTGTGTACAGAATTTTTCTTCATTAATTTTGTTTTAAATTAATAAAATTGATTTGTGAACGTATTAAAAAATTGTCTTGTATGCAAGTCTGTGATATTTCTGCCCTCTGGGTTGGGAATGAGGAGACATCTCTCATCTCTTTGCTGTCTCAAGACACAGAAGTTATTCACCTTCTGGTGCCCAGCTGAGATGTTAAGCAGGTTAAAGAATACTTGCAACTAGTTTACAGAAGGCTCGGTTAGATGAGCAGCAGTTGTTTTGTTTATCAGCAGCAGCTAGAGAAGTTCAGTGCAGAATAAGGCCTTGGTGTCCTGGAAATGTCTCTGAGTTACTTACAGCAAATGCCTGAACTTCATGGTGCCTCTGTCATCCAAAGCAATCCATATGAATGGATGACTCTGCCATTCAGATATCTCATTCAGGGCTACAAGTCCCATCCTCTGAGGTTTAACAGGCCTCTACATCTGGGAATTCAGGACTGGCATTTAACTTTACCAAGCATAGAGCAGGGCTGCCCTTTAAATTGGGAAGAATGCCAGTGACCACCATTTTATAGCAGTTTTATCGTTTTGTTGTACACACATGGTCTGGTGAAGATCCCTCATTGCTTCTCTGCCCATCAGTGAGAGCCTTGGCTGCCAGCAGGTTAACTCTCACTTGCTGGTCTAGTGAGATCTAACAAATGGAAGCAAATCCAAGGACCTGCTTCTACATACTTGGCACCACCATGGAAGTTGCATGCTCAGAGCTGAATTAAATGTTTTCAGCACAGCACCAATGATGCTGGAAATTAGTGTAATGAAGTAAGCACTTAAATGCCCCCTGTAGTCAGTGTCTTTCTTTCTGAGCAACTAAATACTCAGAAATTTTTTTTTAATAAAGAGCATCATTTGAAAACCCTTTTTAAATCAAAATCTTGTAAGAAAGCAAGGAGTCCTATAGAGTGAAGGAGATAATGCAGGCAGCTCATAAACTTGGGGTCCACTTTTTGAAACATGTCAGAACTGCTTGAAGTTTCCATTTCTTAGATGCTCACTGATAAAAGTGTTCAGCTGCAATGGTTTCTATTCTAAGAATAACACATATGTAACTTTGAGGTAGTGCCAAGAAAGTGAAATTAAAAATAGTAATTATTATTATTTATGTCTCTCACGACTGGAATGCATGCTCAGTGAGTGGTACCTTTGTCTCAAGAATGCTTGCAATGCAAGCCAATAAAATATTGTTAGAAATTCTTTTTTGCCTTTCTCTTCAGTTTTCCGCTTCTCTCAGTGTTGAATTCTGCCCTGCATAATTCAAGGATGGATATCAAGAAACATGTTTCTTTGTGTCATGTGCCAAGGGAGAGGCACAGGCCTGTCCCAGTCCTCCTGTTCTTTGTCAATGGCAAGGCTGCACAGCTGCCAATTTTGCCATTCTCTTTTTAGCCAGGCACTGGCTCTACCAAAACTGTCTAGCTCTCTTGTGCAGGCAAAGGGCTAGAAGGAAATGGGAAAGTCCAGGGGAAGACAGGCATCTCCCAGGTTGGAAAAAACATAGAGAAGAGGTGTGAGCCTTACAAGGCTGCAGCTGCAGAGAGGGTCTGCAGGTAACCAGGAAGGGTCACTGAGTGGAACACCCAGTGCTCCTAGATGGGCCCCCAGCATCTTCCCAGGATTATGCTCAGGAATCTGATGGGACAAGAGACCAGTGAGAGGTCCCACAGTCTCTTGGCTACCCTATCCCACCAACTTCATGGTGTGGATGGCAGGTTGGCCACAGCATGGTGGACAGCAGCACATAACTCAGTGTGGGCCTCAGGGGAGGGTGGTGTAAATCAAAGGGGGGGCTGGTTGCCATCCCTCTTCTGGCTCCTCCTGAAACTCTTGCCCTGTCCCCATTACGTCTGCACAGCTGGCACGCACCTGCCTGTGCCGGAAAAGACACAGCAAAGATGGAAATCTCAGGAGCACATGCCCTGAATTCTCTCCACAGCCTATCAGCTGTGTGAACTTCTCTGCACTATAGATGTGCATATATACACACACATATGCATACATATACATACATATAGATATATAGCTAGATACACAAATATAGATAGACATATTTGTTGCCAGGCTTTGTTATGACAGCAAAATTAAAATGGTGTATCATTGAACCTGTTGCCTGAGTGACTTTATGCAAATGGTTTGCAATATAAAGTGGCCCTTACTCTTGTTCCCCAGCACAGCTATGAAAGATAAATAAAGATAAATAAACATTTGACTACTCAAATCATCCATCTTTGTAACTGTCAGCATTTCAGTCTGTGTGAGTATAAATAAACTTCCACCAGTTCTGATACACCAGGGACATTTTTTGGTTGTTTTTTATTAATATTCTATACTGCCATTTCTGGTTTTTAAGTGGCTGTTTGTTCCTGCTAATGGTAATAGAATAACAGCAGAAGAAAAATAAAATATTTAGATTTATCTAGAGCTAAATACAGATATGCCAGCTCTCATGGAAGCCACATGATGTTGCCAGGTGATGTGGAAGTCAGACCTAGGTACAAGTATGCAATCTGCCCTTCCCATCATTTCACCAGCACTAGCAGTGTCTCAGCTGGGAAAAGGTATTTGTGGCTTGGGTTTTGTTTCTTACCCTCACTTAGAAATGTTTTGCATGGACTGCTCTGCTACTTCCTGAAGGCCTGGCCTTTGACACTGTGCTGTTTCCATTCTTATGCACAGGTGCATCGTTTTCTAAAGTGGGAGTTGAATAATTTGCAAAGGAAGCTCCAGTCCTCTTTATTTTATTAATTGGCAAGTCATGTCAAATTTGACATGGAAGTGAAGTGAGAGCTAGATATCACATTAAGTTTAATAGCTGAGACTGCAGTGATAGATGATATCGTGCAGAGAAGGTGAAAAGTAGTTAGAAATAAAAAGAC